TATTATTATTCTTTCAACTTAATTATTATTTTTAATATTAAAATGAGTGCTTATTTTACTATCTTATAATTTAATTAATATATATATATATATGTTATAATTATATGATAATTACATTTTTATGGCACGATAGGATTAAAATTATCAAAATACATAAATAATTTTAATTAAAATTATTATATATAAATATTCAAGTAACATTTTTATAGAACGATAGCGTGTAAGATTATCAAAATAAATAATTAGAAAGACACTTTAATTTTAAATTAAAATTAATATTATTATTCTATAACACATATATCATAACATAAAATATTCTTTTGAAAAAAAAATTTAAAAAAAATTGACCCGTGCATCACCCGGGTCAATTGCTAGTATTTTACAAAAGCAAAATTACTTTTTACAAAATAATAATTTTTACTTAATTTATGATTTAATCCCAACCTAACTAAGAAACCACGCTAATATATAAATAAAGACAATTTATCTTAAATTAATACCATTATACCAATAATCTCATTGCTGAAACCTACCATACTTCTAATCTTACCCAATCTAATCAAACATGGAACCTTAAACAAAAATAGGTGTTTTTAGGGAGAAATTTTTATATGCGGATAGGGTACATGTCATGTGATATATTTTACTATTGTGATTGGTTTTGACAGTAGAGTCTATTACATTTATGTTGAGTGTTTAGGGAACAATAGCAAGCATATACATTTGTGATTAATGAAAGGTAGTGTCACGTGGTACCCTTATTGACATACAAAAATTTCTCGGTTTTAGGAAACTTGTATATCATTTTTTTTAATAAAAAAAGAGAGTAATAGGGGGGGGGGATTCAAAACATAAAAATTAAAGGAAATTAGGAGTAAATCTAAATTTTTTTTGCTAGCTTCTTGACCATCGGAAGTTTGCTTTGCCAGGAAAGGATCCAAGGATTTATAATTTTATAAAAATAAGGAAAAAAATTGTCATACAAATGGTCAAAAACAATCATATAAGCTTAAAAACCTTAATTAGTTTCTCTTTCCATAACTTTCTCCACTGGCGCTGCTTGCATCCACTAGTGTCGCTTTTACCCTTTTTCACACGAAACTGTTGCTGCCATCACCAATCTCTTAGTCTTAAGCCTCGTTTGGCAAGAGGCTATTTTAGCCAATTAGCCAAAAAGTTACTAAATTAGCCAAAAAGCCAACAACCCATACCAAAAAGTCAAAGATTCTCTTTTCACTCTACTTTTTGCACATCTTTTCGTAATTAGCCAAAAAGTCATCCCAAACATACAAGTTTTTTTTACCTACTTTTTTAGCCAAATAGCCAAAAAGTTACTAAATTAGCCTGTTCCCAAACGAGACCTTAGACGATTGTTTATGCCTTGCCGGTCCATATCTAGATTGTTGTTCACAACCATTGTTATACCTCTCCATTACCTTTGTTTGGGCCTCTTTGTTTGATGCTCTGATCCCTCTTGACTTGATTTACATTATTTTTGGGAACTTATGAGAGAAAATAAAAGAAAAGAAAATATTGTAATTTCTCTCATTGTTGTTTGAATAAGTAAGAAATAAATAAATAAATAAATAAATGATTATGATTTTTCTCTTTGTTTGGTTAGATTTCATAAAAAAAAAGAAAATAAATTATTTTATGCTATATTACCAAAATAACTTTTTTATATTTTCAATCATTTAATTTCTTTTATTTTTATAAGGACAAAATTAGTATTATGAAAATATTAGTTTTTTTTCTCTCCCAATCGCTTTACTTTTTGGAAGATTGAAAATAAGGGTTATAAGAGAAATCCGGTACTCTTTGTTTCTGTTCGTTTCTCCCAATTTCTCTCCACTTAAGTTATCAAACAAGTAAGAGAAATACATATCTCCCAATTTCTTTTATTTTCTCTCCAAATCACTCAATCCAAACATAGAGTTAGGTTGTCTACTGTTTGGGAATTTGGTGAATTGAACATTATCATAGATCATGAATCACAGAACTTAGATTTTTCACCTACTATGGCTACAATGGCATGAATGAGTCCAAAAATGAAAATCGTCACCTAGGGTGTAGCCATTATGATTTGTTAGATAACACAAATCATGAACGCGACCATCATTTTGAAAAAAAAAAAAAAAAAAAAAAAAAAAAAAAAAAAAAAAAAAAAAAAAAAAAAGTTCTTAATATTGGGTTTTAGAGCTTGACATCACAATATGGTACGTATGAGTTTAGAAATGCAAATGGTCACCTATTGTGTAACCTTTGTGAATTGCTGGACGACACAAATCTTAAACACGATAATCTAATTACAGATAAGTCTAAATTTTGCAAGTTCATAGTAATACGAGTTCATACATACATATATGTATGTATAGAAAATTGAACCAGTCTCTTCAATCACAATTGGTCTTTAATTGGGAAAATTATTAGGTACTTTTGGATTATTACATGTCTATACTCTTTCACTAATCATTATTCACCATGTTCTCTCATGTTCCTCAATTGCCCAATACAAAATTATAATACTCTACTTTCTTCACCAATCATAATACCATGAACCACCACATGGCCGTATTTGCAGAGAACCACCACATGGCCGTATTTGCAGAGTACTCAATAATCACCCTTTCAATTGATTAACTTAATTGTTGATTTAGGCCTTTTCAATCATAATACGAAAACTGCTTGGGGTCGTGTTTTACATGTCCCGAGATAAAACCTGCCCAGGGCAGTGTTTCACGCATCCTGAGAAACAAAAATGCTCGGGATCGTGTTTCACACGTCTCGAAATAAAACCCGTCTAGGGTCACATTTCACGCGTCCTGAGAAACAAAAACGTTCGAGGTCGTGTTTGACACGTCCTGAGATAAAGCCCGCCCAGGGCCGCGTTTCACGCATCTTGAGAAACAAAAACTACTCGGGGTCGTGTTTCATATGTCCCGATATAAAAGAGAGAGGTGTGCGATAGATGCACGAAGTGAACAGGTGAATGTGTGACACCCCGTATTTTTGAAGTATTAATATTTAGTGAGTGGTATTGGTGGTTTATTATGATAATTTAGTAATGAGATTTTTAGCTTTTTAGATAAAAAATTTAATTTTAAATTATTTATTTATATTTATCTCATCTCTTTTATATTTATCATATTGTTATTTATTCTCATTTAATAATAAATCTTACCATTCCCCATAAAAAAAAAAAAAAAAAAAACAAACAAACAAACAAACAGCAGCAAACCGTGGGCTTTACCCACAATTCCCTCACTTCCTAGAGCAAAACCACCATTCTATCGTTCCATCCTTTCACCATTTCATTCTTTTAATTTTTTTATATATGGAAACGTGGGTAGCAAGCCCACTGCCATGTTCAACCATCCATTTTCCTTTCCCATAAAGTTGTCCTTTATTTTCCTTTTTATTTTATTTTTTTATTCTATTTCCTTAGCCCTAAGTTCCTTTCACTATAAATTGAGCAAAACCCTCCTTCATTCTCTCAACTTTCTCTTTTTTCTTCTTCTTCCATACTTCTGTTGCCCTCTCTCCTTCACAATTTGTTTTTTTTTTTTTTTTTTTGATTGGGAGTATTTAAAGTGAGTGTTTATAATTCCATTAAGGAGGAGAGTTGTAGATTTTGTCAATATATACATATCCTATGCTTTAGAAGTTTAATCAGAGTTATTTTTGGAGATCCATGGAGTAATTTCAGATTTATGGTGACGAAGTCAATTATTATGAGGTAAATTCGGGTTGTATACAATATGCTCTATTTAAATCTCTTTGCAAAGAGTTCTATATTTTTAATCATCCTCAATTTGTAATCCACTTGATTAATGTGGTTATTAATAGATTTCGTAAAATCGTTCGTTGTTGAATCGTTGATATTCTGATCGTTTGGTAAAATTCTCTACAAATATTTCTGTGTTAAATGGTGATTTGTCTGGCTGAATGACATGGAAATACTCCGTACATGGATCGAGTGAATCTTATTAATTGTTTACACCAATATGCCCGGATAAGCGTGGAGCTTGGGTGAGGTGGGTGAATAAATGAATTTATTCACTGATCATGTACTGAGTAGGACTGGGTGTTTGGTCTAGATAAATTATGGTTGATTTGTTGTGCAATTTGGTAAATTGCTTGATTATCGTATCGTTGATTTAGTGTCATAAATTGTTGGGTTTCTGTTAATTTATTCTGTATCCGAGCCTTGTATTCCTGTCGTATTGTATACTTCCCGAATTAATTTATTTTTCAGGTGCGAAGCAGATTTTAGCAGAGCTCGAAATTGAGAATTAGAAAGATTTATTAATACAGAGATTTGGGATCTACCACTTTAATTATGGAGATAGTTGTAATATTGTTTATTTTGGAGGATATTGTACCATTTGGAGACAATTTTGTAGTTATTATTTTTGGGAGCAAAACTTGTAATTTTTTTTAGGCTATTTTAGTGTATTTAACGACCCGGGAGTGGGGCGTCACAGAATGTGTGCGATAGATGAACAAAGTAAACAAGTGAATGTGTGCGATAGATGCACTCATGATCTTAGCTACAAAGTTATGCAGGTTCTCCTACCGAGACACAAATAACTTATCTGGAACTCCTCTGAATAAACCGTACATACAATATCGTTTGGTTACAACATAACGGAACGAACTACGATTCAAGCAAAATAATTAAAACAGACCAGCTTAAACAAATCAGATCAAAAATCAAATAAATATGTTCCCTCTTTTGTTTGTTTTCAACTTTTCCTAAACTTTTTCTTCTTTTGTTCTCTCTCTTTTTTTTTTCTTTCTTTGCTCACTGCTTTTTTTTTTCTTTTTTGCTCTTGATTTTTCTCTTTCACGGTTTTCTTTTCTTTTTCATCACTTCATTGTTATTTTCTCCTTTTTCTTCACTTTTATTATTATTATATACTCAAATTAAAACCCAAACAATACCAGAAATAAAATAATAATAAAATAAAATAATAGTAACAAACAACACCAAAAAAAAACAGAACTGGATTCACCAAAGGTCGGCCGAGCCTCGCCGATGCACGGTCGAGCTTTGACACAGCCAGCCGACCTTCGACAGCGAGGTAGGGGCAGATCGGTAAAATCGACACCCGTGGCTGTTTAAACACGACCCAACCCTCATTTCCTCACACTTCCCCATCCAAAAACACCTCATCATCTCTCTCTAACCTTCATTTCTCTCTATATTTCCATTCCTCTTGAGTTACCCAACAACTTTTGCAAAATTTTCTCTTGAAACCCCCTTGATCCTCCACTTTTTGAACCGATTGGATTTTGGTTTGGTGAAGTTTTGAACTTTCTCTTGTTTTCTCTCACATTTGCCCACACTTGTCTTGTTCCCTCCGTGATTTTCCATCCCCTCTTTACTTTCTCTCTCTTAGGGTTTTGGTTTTGTGATTTTCACTCCAAAACACCCAACCACTCACTTTTTCTTCACTTCTTAACTCCTCTCTATGGCTAGTGACGAAGTACCTATTCCCAACCCTATCGCAGGTATTGGTGTCGGCCTTGGTACAGACATTGAGGTGGAGGAGGGCGCCGCATTGCTTCCCCTTGCCGAGAAGTCCTTTGATGTGGCTACATACCAACCGCATACACATGTGCCACCCCCAGGCGGCATCTTGAGATTTGAGGGCTTCATCCCAGGGTTAGATGAGCATATATCTACCAACGCCTCCACGATACACAACTTTTCTACTTATTTTACTTTGCACACATGTTGAAATATTGAAACTGATGAACAAACCACTCGTCTCTACTATACATATACTGATAAAACTTCCAATTGATAGGTAATAGGCAGAAGGATAGGCGACGATGGCTCCATATCTAGCCCCCAGCATTAGTACGAGCGGCTTTCCATAGAGATCCGCACTTTAGTTGATGTTGCTCGGTTTGGGCCCTTCTGCTCCGGGCTTTTATAGATGAGAGCCGAGTCATGGCTCTATGGGGCCCTGGTAGAGAGATAGTGGGATACCACTGACTCATTCCACTTATCCTCGACTGGGGAGATGACACTGACCCCATACAACTTCTTAATGCTGATCGGTTTGCAGGTCGAGGTTGGCGGCCCAGTTTCCTTTGATCTGGATATGACCCAGTGGAGAGCCGCACAACTCCAGCTTCTCGGGGTGATCCCAGACACCACCAGCCACGGGATGTGCGCTACAACTGGTTCTTGGAGTATTTTTTCGTCACTCAGCCAGCTACTACAAATGAGGTTGCCCAGTACACCCGCGGCTTCCTTATATATTTTCTCGGTATTACCTTGTTTGCGAACAGGGAAAATACCGTGGGATTATACATTCTAGGGGCACTGGTACACCTTCCTCGGGTGGTGGAGTATGATTGGAGTGGTGCCGGTTTGGCCACCTTATACTGCTACACGAGTTCCGTTTCCCGCCGCAAGGCCGATTCACTTGGCGGCTACTGGAGGGTTTGAGAGGTATACCCTACACCAACTTTTCTGATATGCTTTACATTTTGTTCACTGTTGCATTTCTTGTTCATCTGATCTATTTTCTCATGCTATCTGTTTGCAGCTTTGGGTCTAGACATATTTCACCTCCCTGGCTCCAGTCTCAGTAAAGCCGATTGAGTTGTCAGTACCTCGCTCCCGGTACTACAACTTACGGTTCGAGTGATGCCACCTTGTAGACCAAACCTTGTTGTACTTTTGCCGCTTCTTTGACACGATCACGACGGATCAGGTAACAAAATACCAGCCTTTAGTGGTTACCTACCATAAGCATATTACACTGTTTCCCACACTATACAGTCACTCTCATGCCGTTGCATCTGTACCATATTGCCATTCTCATACTGTACTACTTTTGACACCGCACTGCCATTTTCATCTAACACTGCACTGATCTAACTCTACACTTATTTTCTCGTACTACACTGACATCTAATACTGCATTGATTTCACAGGTTGGCTGGCACCCTTGGGCGGGCATTTCCCAGGTGTCGAGGACGACCTACGCCGCTACCTGGCATGCCTCCACGATGAGGATCCTGTTCGAGGGCCTCTTTGGTAGAGCTTACTACCTGGAAGAAATGTTCATCTGCCAGACGTGGGGCGTTATTGACCCCGACATTCCACATCCTTCTCCTTCCAACATGAGGGTAGTAGATGATCTACAGGACGGTCTTGAGGTCGACCTATTGATGATAGATGAGAACAACGATCATCATCATGAGCCTGGCGACTTCACTACCTTCTTGCACACCCGGGTGATAGCACCTCTTACCTCAAGTATGGCCCAAGCTGTACTGGAGGTTGCTGCTACTGCTGCTGGGGCTGGTGATGCGCCTACTAGAGGTGCCCCTGCTGTTGCTCTCATTCCTGGATTTCCTGTGATCCCCACTGAGATCGTATACACGCGTCCGGATGAAGTGATCGAGCAGATCCCACTTGAGCACATCGAGGAGAGGGACCGCATGCTAGTGTTTGCCCCTAGCGTCGAGCAGGTACACATTCTTTTATGCTAATCCATATTGCACTTTAGCTTGTTTTCTGCCATTTCTATTCATTGTTCTACTAGTATCTCTGTTTGCCTTTTCTCAGATTCTGTTCTTTTGCAGATACCCTAGGCATTTGGTGACGAGCTCTTTCGAACAATCGATCAACTGCTCGTGATGGTACAGAGGAGGCAGACTGCCTTAGTCACCCAAGGGATTGAGGTACATTCTATCTGCGGTTTATTGTTGTTTCCATACTATACTTATTGCCATACTATACACTTCGTTTACTCTTACTAATATCTGTCTTCTTTTTAGCTTGAGTCTGTACCAGTTGCACAAGTAGGACCTCTTCCAACTTGAGGGAGAAGGAGACAGGGCTTAGTGAGAGGCTGCGGAGGAGCTGACCAGGAGAAGGGCCAAGCGAGGTAGCGCTCGCCTTTCGAGGAGTCTTTTGACTAGTCCACGACCTTCGAGGACAAGGGGGAGGAGATTGACTTGCAGTCGAGCAGCCCTAGTGATGACAGCGATGCACCTCCTCCACAGTCGAGAAAGAAGAGAGCTAGGATGGGCTATTGATGATGATGATGATTTTGCTTTTGTTTTGCTTTCGCTTTCATTTTGTTATGTAGTTAAAAAAAACTAGCTTCGGATAGACCTTTGTTTTTGAAGACTTTTCTTTTCTTTTGTTTTGTAAAATAATGATCGGGGTTGGTACCACCAATTATAAAAGACAAGTTTTGTTGAATGATCTCTTTGCACAATATAATGAACAACATTTGCATGTGATGAATGGCATAACCCTTGCACAGTAACTTTTGGAACTGTGAATGCTTTGTTCTTGAATTGATTCATGAAACGGATAATGACTTACAATCGGTCAAAATGTAAAATACAACTCGATAATAGAAAAACGAAATGAAAATAACTCGAAAAAGCTAAAAAACACTTGGTACAAACAAAACAAGACTCAAAAGTACAGTCATGGTCCACCCGAACAAAGACCAGCCTCTGCTGCAACTGTACTGAGCTGGACCAGCACCAAGACCCGGCTGGCCATCACTGATGCACGATTGGCTATCAGTGTGATGTCGGTCAGTGCTGTCCAACTGTCATGCACAGCCCTTTCTCAAACTCTATAAATAATGTTCCCATGCTGTTTTTCTGGCAGATTCACAAGTCCTTGATATTTTGCTCTAAAGATGGAGATGTTACTTATCAACAGGCTTCAAGACTGGATAGCCACTTTGGATGGCTCGGAAAAGGTGAATTTCCACGGTTTTGGCCTAAACGCCCTTTTCCCTTTAAGCAACACTTCTATTTGCTTTCCATTCCTCCATGCCGCGATTCGATGTTAGAACCCAGTCACACATGTATTTAGCTTTGGGGGACAAGAAATATGCCTGACAATTGAAGAATTTTAGGCACTAATGAAATCCCGGTGCGATGAGAAAATCATACCTCAGCCCCGCTTTGCCCACGTCCAAGCTTTGGGACGGATGTGTGGGCTCACCCTATGCGAGGCTCGATCTTTGGTTCACAATGGAGAGCTAGATATTCCCAGCCTGATTCATCGTTTTTTCGACGTCGGTGACAGAGGCGACCTTTTCTAGCTGGGTTTTCGGTAATACGCCCTTTGCTTATGTATGCTTGCTCATTTCCTTCTTACTCCAAGTTTCGGCAGGTCCAACATTCAGCTGGTCAAAGTGGCCCAAGGTTTGAAAGAAGGCAAGAGTTGCATTGGCTTGGTGCTAGCTGAGACTTTGATGGGCTTAGACGCCTTTCATCGGCAAGAGACTACTAGATTCGCGGGGAGTCCACTACTTCTTCAGATAATGTCTCACACCCTTTCTTATATGTGTTTCTCACATCTCTCGACACTCATGCTCTGTTTTTCTCTTGAAACCCTTTTCTCACTTTCTTCTCAACATACATCTCTCTATTCTTTAATCTCTCTTTTCTTTCATCCCTTCCTAGGTGTGGCTTATGGATAAGCTGAAGATAGTGGACTCTTGCCCTGAGTACTCAGCCCGAGGCTATTTCTTCGGCCATCGGCTAGTGGATTTCCCGAATGAGGGATGGTGGTGCCACTGGATGTGCAACAAATCTATTGCTGACATAGCCTGACGTTGCCCCTGGCTTAATCCCGAGATGAATTACAGCATGGCTCGACAACCTAGCATTCAGCTGATCGGCCTTACACACTGCGTGTTTTACTTCTCTTTCAGATTCATATGTTAGTTTAGGCATGATCAAATCTGCCCAGAGAAGGGGGTAGAGTACCCAATTTCATTCCCCATCCAAGGTTCATATTTGGCTAGGTACCTCACTGCTTGGAGGACGAGAGAGCTTTTGGCCCCTGCCCCTAGTTTCAGTTGCGCCCTTTTTAGCGAATGCTTAGCTTGGCTCGGCTCGAGGATAAGGCACAAACCGGGCCCACTTTGGCATCAAAAGTTTCCACAAGCACAAGCGGGAGATGTAGGAGCGCCTGACTCACCTATGCCCCTAGTTTATTGCTTTGACATTTCTTTTCAAGTTTTTGATGTAATAAAAGCAACTTTGATTTGTATCAGAAAGTTGGAGAGTTTTATGTTGAAATCAACGAAATTAAAGTTGTGAGTATTGAAAATTTTCCTTTTGGTCCAAAAATGGTGTAAATTGTAAAAGGTAAAATTCAAACAAAATCAACTTTTGTCAAAAACTTTCCAAAACCATTTTCAAAAAGGAACACCACTTGACACGCACGAGATCAATCCTCAAGGTGTACAACCCCATATCAAAAGATCACAAACTGCCCCTTGACTGAATAGCACTGCACTGTAGTGTAACCAGCCATTCTCTCAAAGTAAAGATAACAACCAAACCCTCAGGTAAAGAACAGACAAAGATGACCTGATCAAACACATGAACAGAACAACTGAGTTAAAGGTGTTTATGGCCGAACTTCAGGATGAAGTTGCCTACGTATCATGAAGGTGGGAATTAAGCCTTACGTAGTTCGGTTTAGGTTCGCTCGAGTATTAACACTCTCTTTTTGCGCTCTAACTTTTGCCAAGGTCGCCCTTTAGGGTTTTTAACCCTGCGAGCTCAATTTTTCTTTATTTCTATTTTTTCATACTCTAACTTTGTATACGTCCATTTCTAAAATTGATCTCCTTCAAGCCCTGATTATTTAGCACAAGGCTTTTTGTAAGGTGGTGTTTAGGAAGTCTTGAACTTGGGTTTTTTTCTATTTTTTTCACAAAAAGACAAACTTTTTGCAAAACAAAAAAAAAACACATCCAAACAAAATATCACATCCAACCCCGTAATCATTTCACTTTTTCTCTCACAAACATCACATCCAACCACAAAAAAACCCAACTATCTTCCCAAACACAAAAAAAAATTTCTCCAATAATATCCTACAACTAAAAAAACCTACATAAAAACTCACTTCCCAAACACCCACTAAATAGTCTCATTTTATTTACTTAGTGATGAATCTCAGATATTCAGTTTGAAACGTGGATGGCCAATGTAGTTTCAAGTTAAATATCTAGCGTAGTCACTACCTCTATAACCTTGATCAATAAAACAAAACGCATAGTTTGTCCAAGAATGATTGAGAATGGTGACGAAATCAGAAGTTGATTAAAACTACGTTAGGAAACATATTAGGAGTTACCTGAATTAGAAGCATTTCACCTTAGTAATTCCCTTGACTAATCACGATATCAAAACCCTAACCTGCACCTAACTATACGTTGGCAGATGGTGAACCATACAAGAGCAAACAATTACATTGGTAATAACGACAACACCAACCACAACAATGACGTCAACATTAACAAGAACGGGACACCTAGGGTCAATAATCACATTCATACACCCACAAACTTACCCGGGAATATCGGAAATCAAATTTTGGAAGAATTAGGAAGGTTGAAGAGCACACATCAGAATGAGAGGAATATCTATTCTCCGAATTTCGCAAACAGAGGCTACAAATCTTCACTGGCGAGCCCGATCCTAAGATCGCTGAAAACTAGATTTGACAAATTGAGAAGATCCTGGAGACAATGGGAATAGTCAAGCATACAGACAAGATCGCTCTGGTTGTTTACCAGTTAGAAGGTGAGGCAGACCATTGGTGGACCTTAATCAAGGAATCTAGGGACACCACGACTATGACTTGAGTGCAATTTAAAGAATCGTTTTTGAGGAAGTATTTCCCACACACTGTTAGACAGGAAAGAATTCGTGAGTTTCAATTATTAGAGCAAGGCATGATGATGGTGACCCAATACGTGGTGAAGTTCGAGGAATTGGGTTGTTATGCGACTCGATATGTAGCCAATGATAAAGAGAAAGCACGAAAATTTGAGTGGGGTCTAGACCCTATAATCAGATGAAGGGTTTTACCCTTGCGACTTCCCACTTTTGCTGATGTGGTGGACACAACACTGGACACAAAATAGGAGGTGGTAGATACTAGACAGATTTGGAGCTTGAAGAAAGAAAGTCAATCCTATGTGAGACCATAAAGAAACAGCTGAAGGCATGTAACACAAAAACTGTACTCTAGGGACCACAACTACAACAACAACAACAGCTGCAACAACAGTACCAGAAGGAAAGCTTTCAGGCAAGATCAGCTTGGCCGATCCAGTGCTACTATTGCCAGCAACTAGGGCACAAGAAGACTGAGTGTCCCCAACTCGTCTAGTCAGGAAATCAAAGGGAAGGTATGAAAGAAAATGCACAAGGGATTGACGAGCAGAAGACATGGAAGAACAAGCCAGGTCTAGCTAGTTAGCAATACCAGAGGGAATGAGGCAACAAGAGACCTGGGCTCAATAATAATCAGAGGCCAACTAGCAGAATATTTGCACTACAAGAAGAAGAAGACGAAGACCTCACTAAGCAGTACCCTGAGAATGAGAAATACAACACATATGAATCTAAGGAATTGCAGTACGAGCCTTGGTTAACCTAGAAGAATGTAACTAAGCAGTTAGAACTCTTTTGAAGTGACTTTCTGTAACCTAAACGTAGATGGTATAAATTTCCTTTATTTAATCCAGTCTTAGAACTTTGGGTGCACATTTTGTTCGTCACATTCTTTCATATCTGCAATATGTGTTAGGTCATAGGAATTATTTGTGCAATTTCCAAGGCATGAAGATACCCAACTCCGACCTCATCTTAGAAATAGATTCATTACTCGTACCTTAGTAATTATCAATAATTACCAAAAGAATGAGATGACTCACCCATCTAATGGAAAGGCTTTTATTATTTAAAGGAGATAGATTAGTTCCCATGATTCAACAAATCAACAAACGCAATGGCATCAGCAAATTACCAAGGGAAAGTGTAAATCACCACATTAGAAAATTGGCAATACAAACCCTGTAAGACGGACAGTTCAAAATTTTCAAAAAATGCGAAAGATTGACGCATCTCCTTATGTCATTAATTGGGAAGAAGAAATTAAGAGGACAAGATGATCCAGAAGATTAAGATACATTGACAGGATCTACCCAAAAGTGCGAGGATGCATTGTGGACAAATATTTCTAGACATGAAGAATGGCTAAAATTTCGAGGACGAAATTGTTTTAAAGGGGATAGATTGTGAGGCCCCTGAAAATTTTACTTTCTCAAAAGTCCCTTACTTTTAAATTATTCCCTTGAAGTCCCTCAGTTTCTTAATTAATTGTAACCCTATGATCAAAATACATGCGCCAACAAAACCCGCAAACCCTAATCGATTTTGGTAACTTAGAAATCATTTCCAATACCCTAATAA